GGCCACCCACCGCCAACTCTTAAGCTATTATTTTACCAACGAATAGTGGAATTGATCGTAACATTATAACGCCCCCACAGCTGAAAGGGTGACCATGTTTGGTGGGACGGGGATTCGATCCCGCGACCCTCAGATTGCGAGTCGAGCGCCCTAACCACCTGATTGTTTATTACTTTAATTATTCTATTAGATACAACATATGTGACGTGTCCGTTTTGTCACACATTACTCATGATAATCTTGTTGTATATAACATTCCACAATTTCTTTTTGATTTATACTTCTGAAGGGTTGTTACTGGCCTGAAGTCTTTATGCTTAATAAAGTTTCTATTCCTTTATCATTACCATTTTCTTTATATATATATATATTTCACCCCTTTTGAATATAACGCAGGACTCATCTTGAGCATTAATTTAAGGTAACATATACCTTTTAAATGTCAAAAATATCACTATTTATTTTAAATTAAAATTCAGGGGTTTTCCTTAGTTCAGACTAATTCTTCACATCCCATCAAAGCCTGGACCCATGTTCATGAGAATTCAGTCATGTTTGTATAAGCTATCAGGAACATAAGACATTTCTTTTGTATTTCTTTATTTTTATAATATGCAAATTAGCCACAGTGGTAAAAACTGTCATTTCAAAGAGAAGGTTGTGCTTCTCAAGAGGGACAGGCATAAAGAACTAAAGATTTTCTGTGAGAAGTAGTATTCTACAATAAGCAAATTTTGATATTCTTCTGTTATCTCCCCCTGCAGCAGAATAAATATGTTTATACACTGTTTTATTCTCAGATTTTAAATTAATTCATGTGTTTGATTTTGTATTATATCCAGATCTTATTTTAAATTTACATTATTTTCAATTTTATATCTAGTTTTGTTTCTTTAATAAAATATAGTTAATTCTGTGTAAGGTATTTTTGAGTTTTTCTGTAAGTTTATATTTTGCATTATATTTAGTTCACATAATATAATGTTTAGTTTTCTTTAATTATGTGCTTTTATTTTAGTTATGTTTACTGAACTATCTTAATTGATATAATTTCTGATGATAAATGTAAATATGTACTGTTGGCATTTTGTTGTGTAAATACTCATATATGTATTTAGCAGTTTAATTATTATTTTTGTGTTACCATTTTCTCACTTCCTTTTATTTTAATCATGTAACTCTTCCTGGTTTTGAACAATTTTATTTTGGTATTCAGTTTTATGTTGTGATTTTATTTAATGCTGTATTACTTTTAAATGTCATGATTTTGGTTTTATTTTATGCTTAGTTCTGATTATTTTAAATTAACTTATGCCTTGCCTTATTCAAGTTTCATTTCATGCATGATATTACTTATTAATTTTATGGCTATTTTTTGTGTTAACATAATTAATTCAGTTTTTTTTCCCAGCTGTATATTTAACAAAGTTTTCTTTGTTGTTGTGTTTATCTAAATGACATGGTCTTGTGCACATCTAAATAAGTGATTACAGGGAATTGAGACTGGTAATTAATATATAATTAAGTCTTTCACATTTAACCCAATTGCTGCAGTTGTTACATGTAGAGGACAGACTTTTTTTTCTTCTTCTTCTGTACACTGTGGCTGTACTGTATTTGGGATTTAATTTTTTAAACCTCCTGCTTGATCTGGTAAGGGGTATTTATGAGTATTGAAGCATTTTCAATCCACTCAAGCATTGTTACAAAACAATGAGTCAGTCATTCTTTGTCTTTTCTTGTCAGTACCCCTCACAATGTCAACAAAATCCCACAAAAAATTCTGACCTGTATACGCGACAACCTGTCAATGCAGTGAATGGGCTTGGGCCTAGGAAACTCCGAAGTAGAGAGGGGGAATGTTGTTGCAGTTCAAAAACTGTTACATTTCACCCTTCTTTAGTTAGATAAAAAAAGAAGAAAAAAAAGAGTCTATATTTAGGTAGCTTTTATTTAATTTTTGAGCATTTACGTATTGGGTGTCCACGTAAACAGGATGTGAAAAGTCATAAACTTGTACTAATCCTCTATCTTAGACAAATATTATATAACACAGCAGTCACTGTTGAATATGGATCATATTCAAATTGAGGGATGTTTCAAATATTCATGCAGATTAGTTTAATTTGGATTTATCCCTCTTTTGAAAATTATGATAGAAATGATAATATAGGTAATATATGATTTTGGGATATCACACACTAGAAACTTGTTGACTAGTGATCATCTTGTGCAGAATTATCTTTCCAGCTGCAGCAGCCAGAAAGGTTCTATTAATGTGAAACGTAAGGAAGCTAGTCAGTAAAAGTAAGACCGTAAATAAAGTTTTGTCTTTATTCATTCCCATGTGTTTGCTTGTTTCTTGATGTCCATGTTGATTTTGTTCTTTTCTAAACGCTTCCTGAAACTGCTACCTGTTGATAATCTAAGTACTTTCATGTTGGATATCAGCAAACTTAAGTGCCATGTAACTATAGTTTTCTTGCAGAATACTGTAGAGCAACCACAAAGTTACTATAGAATTTACTGTAAAATATTTAAAGAATTACAGTACTTTGTTTATAAAGGACTATAGCTCTAAATGAATGTAGACTACATAAGGAAATGATACAGACTGTGAAAAAGGTGCTTACAATGTACTTAATATAATGGCTATGATATATCTAGAAAGTATATTGGCTACCTAAGAAATAGCTATAGCTTGTCTATAGAATTAATGCAGATACTGTGAGAAACTGTAGGGCATACACAGCCATACCTCAGAGAAAATGGCTATTGTTGCTTCCTATTAAATGACATTTACATATTTTGTATATACATCTATATTATTACTATTGCATAAGTGTATCTCTTATACTTTTCAATGGGATTTCACTAAAACTTGGCAGATATGTTTCCTACAGTAGGTGATGGACATGATATCTTGTTATTTGATAGAAAAAAAGAACTCCTGCAAACTTGAGTGTACTTTTTCAAATTTGTGTTACTATTTTTATGAAATTGCCTTAGGCAAGCTCACTCCATCAACTGCTTACCAACATATGCTTTTGCCATAAAATTAAGCACACTTAATGTTTAAGTATTTGGATTTGGACTAAAACATCTTTATTATTAAATGTTGATTTAAGGTTTATCTTAGTAATTTTTAAAACAATAACACTTGTGCCTGACATGATGAACTCTTGTAATGAGCAGAAGGCTTCACTGGTATACTGTATATAAAAGGTATAGTGTGGTTGACATATATACACCTGGAAAAAAGTTAAGCACCCCCAAATATTTTTCAGGATTGCTTATTGAAAATAAGGTTTA